AGTGTTTTATATAATATTTAAAAATTTAGGCTGGGTTTAAATTCCAGGTTGGTATCTCTGTGCTACCAACAAGTGAGCACTGGCACAGAGAAGTACATGGTGGGAAGATGATGTCTTTAAAAAAAAAAAAAAAATATATATATATATATATATATATATATATATATATATATATATATATATTATTGATTTTTTGCAGAGATGAAGGGAGAGGGATAGAGAGTTAGAAACATCAATCAGCTGTCAGCTGCACACCTCCTACTGGTGCCCACAATCAAGTTGGTACATGCCCTTGACTGGAAGGGAACCTGGGATCTTTCAGTCCCCAGGCCAAGGCTCTGTCAATTGAGCCAAACCAGTTAGGCTAGATGATGTCTTTTTAAGTTGAGAATCTTTCTCTGTTCTCACTTCTATCCAATATTCAGGCAGGCTACACTGTGTTGGGGAAAGGTCATGAATTTGGGGGTGGGTCAGGTCTGCATTAAATTCTGATTTTTCACACAGTAGCTGTAGGCAAATAATCCTTTGTATCTACAGCATCAGAACCTGTAAAATGGGACCAGTAATACACATCTCACAGTGTAGTTCTCAGAATAAAATATTGCAAGAGTATCTTCCAAAGGATTTGGCTCACAGATAAATGCTCAGCACATGTTAGTTTCTGTCTTTACTTGATATTTTCTACATCAAGGCTCTCTCTGATGTTCATTTTACTATGGTGTTGCCAGTGTAGAAATGTTCAGGGTGGAGGTAGTTGAATAAAAGTTTCTCCCTTGCCTCTTTCCTTTTCCCTGGCAAGACTCCATAAATGGTTTTAACTTTATAATTTCCTCAGAAGCCATCATGTCTAGCAAAAGATGAATTGGGATGCTGGGTTGATCTTCTCACTGAAAGACATAATAGAAGCTAGGGGGAAAAAACTGGCAGGAAGTAGATCTATGCATATGAGAATTGAGGGCCCAATTCTCCCTCAAACACATAAGCAGATTGCTATCAGGTGAGTGAGGAGGTGGGCATAAGATGAGGTGCTTCTTCCCAAGGCAAGTGTGTTCCTTATGAAAAGGTGTGACTGGGTGGAGCTTATACCTCTATGAGAATGTACATATATATGTTCCTCTGTTAGAAAGTACTGGTAATATGATTCATATTAATATATGTTTATTCATTTGAAGAAATGTTGTGCTCTTTTTATATTTCTGGATGCTACATTTATTTTCTCTCTTTGAAAACTTTAATGACCATCTGCAGAACTGAGAACTAGGGAAGTTGTTATGACAGTTATGTTTTAGAGTTGGTTAAGATTTCTGGTAAATTGCATGCATTAGCTTTTAAAAAATTGGGGCACATTTTAAACACCTATATACTAGCTTCTAAAACAAAGTGTGTCCCTCTTAAATGCTGGGAAATTCTCAAAAAAGAAAACGTCAGATCTGTTTGGCATGCCTCTGAGAAAAATTTTCAGCACATAAACTCTTAACTTCATTAACTTTGGTTAAAACAGAACTTGTGGTGTTTTTTTGTTTTGTTTGTGTGTGTGTTTTTCCTCCTCCAGAAGTTGACTTCCTTCACCATGCTACAACTACTAATACTAATACTAACAGCCAGTTTATTCTGGAAAAAGTTTTCTTCCCTAACTTGGATTTCCTATCCTTGAATAACTGTTTTTCTATTTTCAATTCTTTATTTTTCTGCCTATTTTTATTCCTTTTCTTCCTCCAAATTATAGCTTCCTGTCCTTAATTCTATTCTCTTTCTATGTCCTTTGTTCCTTACTGAACTCACAGATTCCTGTGAATTCAATTATTATTCCTAAATATATGATTTTCACTCTTAAATAACAACCATGTTTTCAAGTTCTATTTCACATTTCCAACTTTTGATTGACAATACCCCAAAAGTTCCATGGCACCATAGTAAAATCATTCCCATTTTTATACTAGCATTAAATCTGTACTTGATTATATGTTTTCTCATTCTATTTTCAGTAATTCAGTAAATGTTTCAGCAGTTCTAACATATTTTTTTTTCAAATGTTAAAATCTCTAAAACAGACACATGTCCTACAATCATCAATGGTGTACTAGTATTATTATAGCTTAATTAGCAGTGCTTTCATAATTGTTCATAAAGTAATGTTGCATCTTACAACTGGTGGTGCCTTAGATTTGATGAAAACTTTATACAAACTCCTAATCATCACTCTGTTAAACTTTGGCAATTCTTTTCTGAAGCTCCAGTTATTTTTTTCATCATCAGCATAACAGTCCTTTTAAAATAAAATTCTGGTCAAGAACTTTAATTTATTTTCATTAGTTATTATATAAATTCCAAATTCTGTATCCATGGTAGAAAGAGAAAAAATTATTGAAGAACACCATGACATAATACATCAGGCAAGATGTCTAACGTAACTTTTATTTGTCATTAAATAAAGATAATTTTAAGTGCTATGGACTTTTTCTCAGGAAGACTTGTGGAGATTCAATCACAAAGGAAATTTGTCTCTTACCATCCTCTAAAATTTGCTTACTGGGCCTGCCTTTTATATCTCTGTCCATGGAGTAGTCCCATGACTTTTTCTAGTCACTCTGAAATAATAAAATATTGCATTAATTCAGCAATTTGGATGTCCACACTTAATATGAATACTCTGATCTTCTTATATTTTTCTCTCAAGAAAGTGCTTATTGTGACTTAAATGAGAAGGCAATGGTGAGGGGAGACCAGTATCTTTGTTTTGTAGCTAGTTTTAGGGCACTCATTTTTTGCAATTTTTCTTTAGTGTTCTGTTTTACCACTCACTTTGGTGGTTGTTATCTCTCACCTTAGCTCTTAACCAAAATTTCTTTATTGTGACATATAATGATTCAATAAAATTCTCTAAATGAGTAATGCCAGGGAGAGAAATCATGTAATTATTTGTAAAGATAATAAAAATACATCTGATAAAACTCAAAATTGATTTAAATGTTTTAAAATAAAGCACAGTTGCGTAGATGATTTCTTAACTTGACAAAATATGTCACTTTTGACCACCAAATGAGTGAAATAATGTGTCCATTAATGTAGAAGTTTACACTATTATTTATCATAGTTTGGAAGTATCAGTCTCAACAATTAGAAAAGAGGAAATAATGAAAGATATAATATTGGAAAGCAAAAGTTAAAAACATATTTTTCTCAAAAATGATGTAATATTAGACATTAAAAAACAGAAACAAATTGAAATCATTTTCAACAAGTAAAATCAGCAATCTTGCTGAGCATTGATTTGTATTAAAATAACCTAAATAAATAGTATTTTTATCTAATAACTATACAAAACCCAATTTGAATATAAAATTAAGAAAATAGTCAATAACAGAAAAATGTTTAATATTTAATGACAAACATAATAAATATGAAAGACATATACAAAAAAGCTCTAAGGTACTAATAAGATTCCCAAAAACATAACTGAAAAAAGAAAAGGCATTTTCTATGCTTCAATAAGATTTCATAATATCATAAGAGCATTATTTTCTCTAAAGTAATTTTTAATTTTAATTTGATATCAATAAAAATACTATTAAGTACATTTTTAGAGCTGAATAATATGATTTTAACTTTATGTTAAAAAAGAAATAGTAATAACAAATTGGTTATGTTACAAATATTGGAACAGTATAAATACTACAGAATTTAAAACAGTTGGTAACACTGTTTAAGTGTGAAAATGAGCCAATGAGACTGAATAGGGAGTCCAGAAAAACATAAAATTTATAAAAACATAAAATTATTAATAAATGGTTTTAGCCTATTATGAAAATCATATTATACTCTATTGATGAACTATTTAGCAAACAAGTCTGAAAGAGCTATATTGGTAACTAAAACAATTTCAGAGATTTAAATATAAAGAGTGAAAGCATAAATATAATAGAATAAATCATGAGAGATTTTTTAAAAATTCTTGGAGAAAATTTTTCCTAGAGATAATAAAATGCAAGCTATAAAAGAAACAATGTATTTATTTACATAAAAATAAAGAAATGTGAAAAGGTAAAATAGGAATAATAAATACAATTTGATAAAGGATGAATTTTTTGAATTTTTAGTTTTCCCAAAAATAAATTTTAGAAAAGGTCGAATAACCCAATTAATGTGAGATAAAATCATAAAAATAATATGTAGAAGGAAAAATATATAACATATAATAGGGTCTAAACCTCACACACAGTAAAAGAAGCAAATTGAAACTGCAATGAGAACATTTTCTTGTAAGACTGCCAGAGATTTTTGAAAAGTTGTTATGTTGTTGATCCGGGCACAGGGAAACAAGCATTCTTAGAAATTGGTGGAAATGTAAACTGGTACAATTCTGGGGAGGACAATTTGTAATACCTATAAAAATAAGAAAAATACAAATATGCTTTCAACACCAATATTGCTTCTAGAAACTCATTTAACAGAGGTGCAAAATAACCTATGCATTAAGCTATTTACTATAGTGATATTTATAAGTTCAAAGGGGTGGGAATAAGCTAATTTTCCAATATAAGACACTACTGATTTCAATTGTGGTATATGCCTGAAGCCATTAATCAGGATGAGAAAGTTTTGTATTGATATAGAATGATCGTTAGGATGAAGTACTATTATACAACCATGTTTTATTATGACACAATAACAATCTGTTGAGCAACACTACATTACTCATGGGGAATGGGAGACTACTGTTCTCAGAATGCCCTATTGTACATTTCACATTTGGTATTATTTTGAATTTTGCAGAAGCATCTGATTACTTTTATATATTCAGAACTTTTTCATTAAATATATTAAAAATAAAGAACCCTGATGATGATGTTCAACGAGAGCTGCCATATGTTGAACGCTTTGATGGGGGCTTTCACATATTATCTCCAATGCTCACAATGACTATTTAAGACCCATTGCATGATCCCCATTATAAAGACAAGGAAACCAAGGCTTGGGGAGTTTAAGTAATGTTCCCCATATTACAGGAATAGTAACCCATTTACTAATTGGAAATCAGGGCTATCTAACTTCAACCCTGATGATAACCAAGGTTGGGCCATATACAACCGAGCCTCACATTTAACTAGGTTTATATAGATGGGAATCATTTCTCCACCGCATTGAGTAGCATAGCACAATTTTTTCTTTTTAAATGCCAAGCTTGATGTAAATTTGCCAACTTTATTGCTATAGTTTGTGATGTTATGCACATGAAATCTTGTTCTCCTGGAAGATCCAATTAAGATTGCATAAAGGTTTACAACAGTCCTGTTGTGTAAACGGTTCAACATTCCAACAACAAACTAGATAAACATTTTGCCAATCACTAATTAAAAAGCTGGCTCTAAGTACAACAACCTGGAGTCAGTTTGCGTTCACATTTCTATTAGAGGCTAATGAATATACAGCTAAACTAATTTAGTCAAATTGTTTCTTTATTGTGCTCAAAGTTAAAACTAACAATTCAGCTTTAGCCCTGAATCTTTTAAATTATTTTTTTCTCCCCTATTGAGCAAAAGTCTAATTAAAAGCTTTTAGGCTTTCACATTGTGCGGGCTGCTAAGTGATAGTGTGTAGTCTGCAGGGATTCAATTATTACTTGGCTTTAAAATATACATTTCTACAAGGATTTTTTTTTAACCCACTTTGCCTGGAAGGGTTTTGTGCCTAAAATTTAATTTGATAACAAGATTATTAAATAGTGAAACAAAAGAAAAATTATCTTTGGTGTAAGACTTTATTTGTATGTTATCGGGTGTCCAATTTTAACTAAGTCCTAAGAATAATTGACCACTTTAATTTTTTTACATTTATTTATTTATTACATTTATTATTTTTATTTTTTTCATTTTTATTAAGGTATTATATGTGTACATATCTTACCATTGATCCCCCACTCCCATACATGCCCTCCCTCCCTAGAGTTTTGCATCCATTGGTTATATATGCATGCATACAAGTCCTTCGGTTGATCTCTTATCTCCCCCATATCTCCCTACCCTCCCCACTGTAATTTGACAGTATGCTTGTTGTTTTACTGTCTCTGTATCTATCTTTCTGTTCATCAATTTATAATGTTCTTTATTATCCATAAATGAGTGAGATCCTGTGGTGTTTTTATTTATTGACTGGCTTATTTCACTCAGCATAATGTTCTCTAATTCCATCCAGGTTGCCACAAATGATAAGAATTCCTTCTTTTTATGGCAGCATAGTATTCCATTGTGTAGATGTACCATAGTTTTTTTGTTCCAATCATCTGCTGACGGGCACTTAGGCTGTTTCCAAATCCTACCTATTGTAAATTGTGCTGCTATGAACATAGGGGTGCACATATCCTTTTTGATTGGTGTTTCTGGTTTCTTAGGATATATTCCTAGTGACTACTTTACATTTTAAGTCAGGTGGAATGGAGATGCAAAAATTATCCAAAACACTACCTATAGTAGGAGTGACTTTTATTCTGCATATTCAATAACAGGTCTGGTTATTTAATTTTCAGGACCCAATACAAAATGAAAATGTGGGGCTTCCAGTTCAAAAGCCAAGAAATGCAACAACAGAGCACTAAACCAGGCCCAAGGCCTTCTGACCATGGTTGCCAGGTTGCATGTCCATAAAACCAGTCTTACTCACACGTGTAGAGGGTAGAAATCATGACATAATGTTATGATTACATTTTAAATCAAAAAGACTCCCCAGCTCAGCTTGTGTGGCTCCTATGAATCAGGAGGTCATGATTTGATTCAGGTCAGGGCACATGCTCAGGTTGCTGGCTCGATCCCCAGTAGTAGGCGTGCAGAAGGCAGCCGATCAATGATTCTCTCTCATTGTTTATGTTTCTGTCTCTGTCTCCCTCTTCGTTCCTCTCTGAAATCAATTAAAAAAATTTTAAAAAATGACTTCCCAAGTTTTATTCTATTAGACTGACAAACGCCCACATTTTTTTTATCTGTTGTTCCATTTATGCCCCAATTAATTGATTATCTGTCTAGACTTAGTGGGACAATCACAGGTGACCAGGAGTCAGCAATAACGACCTATCCCCTGGTACTTCAATGTCTAGACAGCTGAGTCAAACCGGAACACATGACACACAAGACAGAATGAGTATGCAATCACACAGGGATTATTTACCTATTCCCAGTGGGTCCTCGGCTCCAGCGAAGGCCACCCGGCGATGCACACTGAAGGACAGACGATAATAACAAAGACAGGCAGGTGGCCGGAGCTGGTTCAGGCTCACACAGCAGAGCAATCAGGGGCTTGTCTCTCGGAAGGACGTGGAGTCCTCCTCTTATCGGGCAGGAGACCACAACTGAAGATGGTCTCGGGGTTATGTAGACTGTGGTAAACAACTTGTGTCCTTATCAGTGTGGGCCAGACGGTGTGCCTTATGCTGGGAGCAGGGCGTTTACACTTTAAGGGCTCAGGGCTTTTACATCAAGATAATGGGGTGTTCATTCATTTTGGAAGTTAAAGATTTTTGGGGGTTTCCATACAGCAAACATTCCACACGATAACTATTTCATACATCAGAGGGGTTACACTATTATAACATCTGTGTAGGTCTGGAGCCTTACAGACACTGAAGACTCCTGCTGGCACTAGTCTCTACTAAAATGCTCCCAGCCCAAGTCCATGTTCTACCTCTGGTGCCAAAGATACTGGGCTTCACTAGGAGCTTGGCATTTAGCATTCAACCTTTCTAATTATACCGAATTTTTAACAGAAATTAATGCATTTTGAGAGTAAATGGTTCTCATTTAAATCTTGTAATGATAGTAATTAGGTAAAAATGACTTCATTGTCTTTCCCTGTCATTGCCAATGTTACCTTAACAAAATTTGCACAGAAAGGGAGAAACAAAGAGAATCCTGCAATTAACTCTTATGGGATTTTTTTTTTCTTCTTTTTACACAAACTTAGTTTCAGTTTCAGTAAGACGCGGCGTTCAGATGGAAACCTTGGGGAGTAGTTAATGGCCAAAATGAATTCCCTTTACTACCTCCACTAAATTGTCAACTTGCTAGCAAAAGACCATCTCAATAACAGTTAAATTGAAAGTGTAGTTGAATGAGATGTCAGCTGAGAAGAACAAACTGGTGAAACTTTCTATTTAAACACAATTTTCAATATTCTTCCAAGTCTTTAAGTCTTCGGAGAGCTATCACTTTGGTGAAAAAAAAAAAAAAAGATCATATTCATGATTGTCTAGTTAGTTTCCATTCATAGCACTTCAGTCCCTAAAGAGAATTTGGTCTTAAACAGTCACTTTCTATTTCTATATCAGCTTCATTTTCTCTGGGTTTTCCATGATTGTCTTTTCAAAGTGCATCTCTCCTCCACAGGAGGTCACGGCACTCTCTGGTCCTGAGATACTTTAGAGCAAGTAATAATGATGTCAGAGGGAAGGATTTCATGAATATAAAGTCATTTCTCCAAAGCTTCTCTCTCTCTCTCCCTCTCAGCTTGAAAATCAGAAGCGCCTAGAAAATTTTTCTCAGCTCACTGAGGGACCAATGAAATGAATGTACTGGCTGAAGGTTCTAGTTCCAAGCAGAGGCAGAGCCGTAACGAGGACCCAAGCCTCCACCCCTCTTTTCCTTGGACTGTCTGTGAAGTTAATTTTATTTCTACTTTCATGAATTTTCCTTTTCTAATTGTTCCTTTTTTATGCTTTTCTTCTGTAACCCATCAAGACTATTGATTTCTTATGTCACTTGCACTCATACTGCTGTTTTATCTTCATGTTTTTCTCTTTCAAGACCTTTGGCTCCTCCATTTTAAAATATCTGTTGGACAAACAGATGGACTGAATGGATGAATAAAAGAGAGCATAATAGTGCGGGCAGTGCAGCGTCTGGGATCTGGACATACTGCTGACCTGGCCGGTCCCTTCTTTGAAAGTGCTCAGCTGTACATTATGAGAGGGGTAAACCATGATTTTTAAACGTTTCTTTTATTAAACTAAAAGTTGTTTTTGAGTCAGGCAAAATGACAATTTGCTCCTATAACAAAATGCCTCAAAATTTGTGGCTTAAAGGAATACACATTTATCAACAGTGCTGTAAGTCAGAGGACTGAGTGGGTTTAGCTTGGTCCTCTCTTCTCAGGGCCACAAAGCATAAATTAGTATGATTTATGATATTTGGAGACTGTGTTGGTAGCCTGAGCTCTCGCCTGAAGGCTCTGGGACAGAATCTGCACTCAGACTCATTCGAGTTGTTGGCAGAACTCAGGTCTATAGGGGAGAGGTCCCAGTTTATTTGATGAATGTCAACTTACCTACCTCCTTAAGGCACCCCTGTCTTTGAGCCTGCAACGGTGTGTTGAATCTCTCTGACTTCTGCTACATCTCTTTTGCTCAGCAAAATAAAATTTTGTTTTTAAGGACTTATAAGATTAGATTGAGTCTACCTAGATAGTCCAGTGTCATCTCCCTATTTTAAAGTCTTAATCTTAAACACATCTAAATCCCCTTTGCTGTGCCATGGAACATTTCTCCATGTTCCAGGGATCAGGATGTGGACATCTTTGGGGGACCATTCTGCCTACCACAGTCTCCAAATATCATAAATCATACTAATCAATCATTTTTTTTCATTCCCATGCCATTGGGAATAATTAGCAAAACTCTGAAATAATGGAATTCTAAAACTCTTGTCAATAATCTAGAATCTCTATTTGTGGAAATAATATAAATACATTTTTAAAATTTGCAAACATTGTTCACTCTTTGTGTTGGAAAGTTCTATTGGTTTTGATGAAAGCTAAATGTCAAATATCCACCATTATAGTATTGTGCAGAATAGTTTCACTATGTGCTTCACCCATTTATTCCTGCCTTTAACCACTGATCTTTTTTAAAATATATATATATTTTTTAAGTTTAAAGAATATTTTACTGATTTTTTACAGAGAGGAAGGGAGAGGGATAGAGAGTAAGAAATGTTGATGAGAGAGAAACAAACATCAGCTGTCTCCTGCACACCTTCTAATGGTGATGTGCCAGCAATAAGGTACATGTCCTTGACTAGAATCGAACCTGGGACCCTTCAGTCTGTAGGCCAATGTTTTATCCATTGAGCCAAACCAGTTAGGGCCCAAGGGCTGATCTTTTTACTGTCTTTATAGTTTTACCTTTTCCAAAATGCCATATAGTTGCAATCATGCAGGATGTAGACTTTCTATTTAATAACATGCACTCAAATTTTCTTCATATCTTTTAATTGCTGGATAGTTTCTCTTTATTGCTGAATAATAATCCATTGTATAACTTCAATTGGTT